GCGTCGGTAGCATTGGTGCTCAGTACGGAAAACAAACCAAAGGAAAAAAACACCAAAACTCTTCAGCAAATGATCGCTCGTTCAAGCACACTTGATAACGACAGTAAATCACCCAACCAGTGTTGAGAAAATATCATAAAATCAAATCTCAATCCTCCGATGACCGTGCTTGATTTTCGTGAATAAATATCAACAAGCAAACAACAGCGGATGATATTACAAGCTGTGATATCGTTGCTCCGAATATCAAGCTAACAAAAAATCACCAGCTACGATTATCAGCAAACTGTCGTGAGTTTTTTTTTCCTTTATTTAACGTCGGTCTCTGTTCCGCAATCTAGTGCCAATCACCGACGGACATCGATTGCCATCCATTGACGGCAATCGAATGTGCAGGAAGGCAGCTTCCACACCTGCGTAGGATATCGCACCCATTAAACACACATGGGCCGGGACCAACGGCTTTACTTCCCTTCCGAAGGAAGACGTGACCAGAGATTTTTATGCCTCAGAAAAATCCCACCGACCTCGGCTGGGATTGAACCCAGACCCATCAGGGTGTTAGAAAGCAGTCACGCTTACCACTACACCACCGGTGCCGGCTATCGTGAGTTTGTGTTATAAGATTTTTGCTTTACACCCGAACGCGATCCGAAAGTTCCATCACTGCTGGCAGCAGTAACTTCGTGTCTGACATGGTTAGTGAGTAAATATTGATAGCAAACTTATCTATCTCTTTCTAAAAAAAAAACGATGTGCAAAGTAATCAATTTTGGAAGCTTGTTAAATCAATATCAAGCATGATATTCTGTTTCAATATCACGGGTGAAGCAATTTTAGGAGCTATTCAAATCAATATCAAGCATGATATTTGGTTCCAATATCTCACCCGTGAGAGCGTATGAGAGGAAAAAATCTGCAAATGGCACCACTGCACTGCACATTATGCCACATCTTGCAGTTCGAATGCATCTCACCCGTAAAGGCTCGTAGTACCAAAGGTAATTCACCAAGTTTCTCAGGTTGTAGCACAAGCTTTCCATCAAATCGGTATTGGATGTATTCCACGAAAATTGCTAGTTACACTTCTACGTAATTTTGTACGAGATTCTCTTCATTACGCAGGTGAAATAACAGTACGGAAACTAGTTTTTCTTTTCTTTTTTAGGGGATGGGCGGGAGCTCCAGAAGGGAGTCCCCATAAAAACAGAGTTTTAATATTTCAGAGTTGGGAATTTTCCTTTAATCGAAGACAACAAATCAAGAAGTCTGGCAACTCTTCCATTTTCTCATACGAACGCTATGAGACAGGTACGATCGCGTCATCTGTCGCTCTAAGGTAAATGCTTCGAAAGATGAAAGCAAAGATTACATCCTCAGAAGAAAGGTTTGTGTATTTGCTCATTTTTCTATGCGTTGCTTCCGCCTTCACTCAAGTGCAGCGCTATTGTATCTGTCGCTAGGATTCTGGCAAAGTTGCCAGTCTTCTTGATATGATGTCTTCGCTTTAATGCTACCGATGTTACTGTCCTTTTGAATAATCGTGGTCAAGTGGTCAAGTTCCGTGTCCTGTTCCTTTGTAGTCGCTGTGTTTAATTTTAGTGCCGTCATTCGTCCATTTCCGTGTCCTTTTACGTGCTTTTCTTGGTTCGATAGGGTAGAGAACTACTTCGGCCTAATCGCCCATTTTGGGCCTATCGAGCAGAAAACTTCAAATAAATCCATGATTTCAGAGTTAACAAGTCAATTATGCGTTTGTTACGATACTTTAGTTAATAAGCTACGGAACGAAGTCAATGAGAACGCGTGATATGAAGGTTTGCAACCATAATTCCCAAAAACAAAAGAAGCGCTCCGACCGAATCAATTTTATCTTCATCCGATAGGCCGAAGTGAATTCATTGGCGTTTCAATGGCTTTTCAATGCGTTAGGCCGAGTTTAGAATCCGTAGGCCGAGTTTGGCGTCAAGGAGCAGTGTTAGACTTTTGACAATATCTTAACGATTGGTTTCTCTTTATCAAATCTTACGGTACGTACCGAAAGATAAATAAATTTGGAAGCCATCAGTAATAATAACATTCCGTTTGGTACTAAACTGCGCTAGATTGAGAAAGACTAAGTGCGGGTTGTGCTTAATAGGCCGGAAATGAGGTAGTTAACCCTATCTTTCGTTCATCCGAGTCCGAGTCAGTATTTGTTGCCGAGGTATAGTTATGAGTCCATCATTGTCCGTTGTCGTTGCTTGGGTGTTCATAGATCAAATTTGGTTAATCAGACCTGAAGGAAGCAGAAAACTGCAGCGATGCTGGATGGGTCATCCCTCAGGGTATCCCTGATGCTGCCTGAGATCCCGTAAACGGAACGGGGCTCGAGGTACTGGGGGCATTCGCATAAGAAATGCTCCACTGTAAGTGGAACATTGCACGTATCGCACTGTCGTCTGAATCCGCCTCCGCCTCCGCCTCCCATGTTGTGGGAGACTTTGGTATGGCCGGTTCTCAACCGGGATAGAATGACTTGCAGTTGGTGTTCAGGTGGATCCTCCCATTTCCTGGTATCCCTTTTTACCTTCCGGATAAATAGGTCTTGAGATCGCATCCATTCGTTAGTCCAGCAGTTCCATCTAGTGATTGTGACCCATCGCTTTATGTCCTGGGCCGGGACCTTTCTGGTGTAAAAGTTGGACTGTCTTCCGGATGCCGCCAGGTGGTCGGATTCCTCATTACCTGTGATCCCACAGTGTCCGGGGACCCAGACAAAGGTTGTTTCCTTAGGAACGAACTGCTGGATACCCTGGATCCAGGGGTGTTTAGCAGTTTCAGACTGAAGAGCTGCTAAAACACTGGCAGAATCGGAGAATATGACAATCGGTTTGTTGGAGGGTAGGGTGGCAGCTACGAGAATGGCGGCTGCTTCAGCAGTGAAAACGCTGCAGGGGTCTGGTAGTCGGTAAAAGGTGCACAGCTCCTTATCGGAAAATCCAATGCCAACTCTACCGCCGCTACGGGATCCGTCGGTGTATCGTACTTGATGATTGTTGTATTTAGTTCGATGTAATTCGGCTACTGTTCTCACTAGTGCAGGGGAGTTGGCTCCCGCCCGGAAGCTGTTCTTTATCGCCGGATCGATGGACAGACCGGGTGAGTTCCAACCTCTGGCTCCACACCAGTGGAACTCCAGGTTGGCGCTATTATTCAGGAGATCGTTCGCCTCCATGAGGAAGGACACTCCGTCACTTGTCCCTATAGTCTTTTCTGCAAAGCCAATCGCTTTCTTGCAAACAGCACTTTCCACGCAGGCTGCCTACCTGGGGGTGGATGGGAGGAGACCTGATGTGACCCTGATGGCCTGATAATACACTGGAGCCAGTTTGGAAATCAACCTATCAGCAGCCAGTGAGTATAAGCACATTTTTCCTCCGAAAGGTGGAATCCAACGGATTTAGTCCACCGTAAGACAGCGTTCGTGGTTGCTTTTAATTTTCTGCGGATAGCCTTCACGGTGCTGCCAACTACTACCAAGACGATGTCGTCTGCCTTCACAAAAAGTATATTTCCTTGGGAAGATTGTTGAAAACTCCGTTCATCCGTATTAAGAGCACGAGTCTACGATTGACCATCCGCTCCAGCACCTTGCTGACACAGCATGTCAAAGAGATTGGTCTGAAATCCTTTGGCTCGCGACTCGCAGCTCCCTGCTTAGGAATTGGGACAAATAGACTGTGGCTCCATTCTTCCGGAATAGTATTTCCTAGCCACTCTCTGTTGAGGAGGCTGAGAAGGATACGTTTGCTTACCAGCGGAAGACTTTTTAACAGAGGGTATCCCACTTCATCCGGGCCAGCTGATTTGTCGTGAGCCTTGGACAAGGCTAAGTCAAGCTCTCTTGGCCCGAAAGGTTGGTTAAATTCCAGTGGTAGATCGTCCTCCGGGATGTGAAAATTATCCAGCGAATGCGTTGTCGCATTTTTTGTGCGACGGAAGTAGTTATCATATCCTTCAAGAGCCGAAAGAGTTGCAAAGTACTACCCCATAGCATGTGCAGTTTTGTCGGGGTCTCTGGTTATTAACCTCCATGGAAAGACTCATCACCGGTGGCCTATATTTCCTTCAAAATTGGAATAATCCATGAACTGAAAATCATGGCAAAGGAAACATCGACTAGGCCGAAAGGATTGCGATTCCGTCCCTTTATGAATGCGGGAAACAGTATATGGTAGACTTCATCAATTTGAAACCAAGATGTCTTTGATATTTCCTAGAAATTAACCGTTTTATTTTTTTTATTTCGTTGTTCTATTAGAAAGTATGAATTGTCAACTGTTATTATAATTGTGCATCATTGTGGCACTTCCCCGAACGCCATTAGGCAAAATCTCATTCGGAGAAGTGGCCATTTAATGAAGCACAACCGAAATTCACATCGCCCACCCGTGTACATGTCGAGGCCCAACTCCGCAGAGAATTTCTTCCGGATGATGCATTTAAGTTTCTCATATTTCCACAGCTTCTAAAAGATAATTCTTCTTGATGCTTACCCGTGCAGGATGGTAAATCCATGTAAATCTGTGTAGCTACACAGTAATTGAGTGTTTTTCAAAGGTTTACTGCCATTATACGCATAATAAGTCCCATAGGCTATGCAATCCGTACGGCACAGCAGTTTAGGGAGCATTTCATCGAAAAAAAAAGATACGTTTGCGTAGCTGACAAGAAATACGACTTATTATTATTACTTATAGTGGTAATAAATGGTAGTTAAAATATACGAAATTTACTCACTTTTCTTTGTTTCCCTTCATAGTTTGCTGATATATCCGAAAAGCAAAATAATTAGAAACAATATCCTACTGTTAGTGTTTTACCTAAAATTGAGAATTCATGACTGTGATGTGATTACTTATTAAGAACAACAGTTAACTTTTAATAAGATTGTCAATATTAATGATGCATATCTATTAGATCTTTAAACTAATGTTATCTTTCTCATCTATTTCCAGTTCGGGCCATATCATCCCTCCTACTACACCACATGGCAAAAGTTGACCTACCCAGCCCAGTAAATAGATATCACAGTCATCATCCAGCAACAGGCAGCAACCGAAGAATAGCCTGCAGCAGCCACCCAACAAAGTCAGCTACACGCTGCCGTTGTTGTTGTTACATTCTGCTTATGGTCTGTCGATAGAGAGTGAGAAACAAGAGTGCCACAGACGACAGGAAAACAAGAATTATATAGAGGCAGTGTTCCCATCGCTCTCGGCCATCATCGGAATGGTGGTAGTAGTATCGGCAGCAGCAGCAGCAGCAACATTCGCCAGCGACAGTATAACCAAACCATCCGCCCGCAAGGGTGGTGTGCAGTTTAATTCCTTCTAAAACGAAACGAAGACGGAGATAGTGCCCCACAGTCGCGCATTGGGCTTAGCCGTGTGTTGTTTTTCATTATTATTCGATTGTGCGAGTGTCTGTGTTTAAGTCATCAATCGAAAGAAGAGAGAAATAAAAAAGAAGTTACATGAAGAGTGTCTGTATACAGAAAGTGCCCGAAACGAAAACCGAAGGAAAAAGTGTATTGGAAGCATTGGAAGTTGCAACAGTGGAAAGGTCTTTGGGATTTAGTTGATGGGCTCGAAAATTAGTTACTGATTTCACAGCAAAAGGTGTCGAATAATAAAATTTTTACTCCATGCAAATAGTGAAAAAGCCGTAGTAAAGGAAAAAAGTTTAATTAAAATTATAATAGCGAAAAAAAGTGGTAACTACGAAGAAATAAAATTAAAGGGAATTGTATGTAGGTACAAACAAGTGCACGTGAATGTGTTGTTACTATTGTAATAGCATGCCAGCATGAAATATGATATCTGCACTACTATCAGTCTGCGAAGATATTTTTTGGTGTAAGTGAAGAAAAAAAACGGGAGAGGTGAAAACCGAAGGAAGAAAAGCAGAGCAAAAAACGAACGGAAGGCAGCCAGCAGGCACCGCGCACATATTAGTGGTGATAGCGGTAAATAAATGCAAAGTGTGATTGAGAGCAGGAGGCAGATTTTCGCCGCTGCGTCGCTGGAACTACTGTAGGGAAAGATGAATAAATTAGAATATTCACGACGGAATGGTACTCAGAAGATACGAATTACAAGTGAGTAGATGTTCCCTATCTGTTCGTCAACAAAGTGAAGGATGGCGTCGCTGCCATTGTCTTCAAGTTTGTCATTTAGTTTTAACATCGAAACTTTCAGCCGTCTAATCATGAATCGATTTCGATCCATCAATCGAAACGTAATCTGTTTGCATGACAATCCAGATTAACCGAAGATTAATGGGCGACATGGTGTCTTTCTCGTATGCATGTATGGTAGACCAAATTATCTAATTATTATATCTCCGGAACCAAATGTCAATAGACTTCTATCGATTTAGCGCAACTCAATTTACCCATCTATGAGAAAAATGAGTGAATCACACTCGCATACCGTACACAGAACTGGTTTCAAACTTTATGAAGAAGTTAACGAAAATATCCTACCAAATATTTGTCGATTCTCTTCATTGATTTTCAATACTAGAAACACTCTGTGTGAGCTCATTCCAATAAACAAACTCTACTTCTTCTTCGCATTTCAAGCTTATTGCGTGCTCTCAACTTAGTGTTCTAGACGCACTTCCATAGTTATTAATTGAGAGCTTTCGATGCCTGCACCATTTTTGCATTAGTATAATAATTATTGTTTGGTAAGTACAATCATACACTCAAAAAGTAAATCACATTTCTGATGGAAAATATCCATTAAAATTTCTCATAACTTTCATGTGATCTCATAATTGGGAATCGCACCACGAAATCACATAAACCTTATGTGTCCAATGAAGTTTATGTGATTTATCACATAGAATTCATGTGATCATATGAATGTTCAGAGGCGTTTCCTTAACCTCAATCTACCTGTGCAACAACTCTCAAAACATAAGCAATTATCAAAATATTTCTTGCAATGGATAGATATCGAGTAAACTAGATGATTAAGTATTTTTTTCGACCGATTCGAGTACGAATTTGGCATTAAATCTGGTTTTAAAAGTTGGTGCACAGGTAAAAAGTGACGTTACGGGACGCCACTGATGTTGTGTGAATTTCAGATAGAATTCATTAATTTTGTTATTGGAAAAATAGCATGTGCGTTCCCAATGGAAACTATATGAAAACTTTTTTCAGTGTACTCTATTGCCCAGGAAAGTCGAAACATTTTTCAACCCGGCAAATTCCTAGACCGGACCGGGAATCGAACCCAGCCACCTCCTGTATGGTGTTGTTTTGTAGCTGCGTCTTTACCGACTGAGCTAAGGGAGACCTATCAATGTCTCTTACGAACAATCATTTACTGTATTGAACAGATTGATACCTAGTACCATATGAATTCCAGAATTTACATACAATTCTGCTCTGAATTATGTATATTGGAATTCTACTGAAATCAACGTGAAAACACTTTTGGAATTTGCTTGAAACCCCTTATAAGAATTTGATTGGAATCCTTAGAATTCCCTTGAACCTATTCGGAGACTATGATTACTATGAAATTCTTTTCAAAATTTTCTTTTAACTCTTTCAGAAATCTTTCAAAAATTTATTTCGAAACCCCTTGGAGTAGTTTAAAGAATTTCTTTCTAATTATCAGTATTTTTTTTTGCATTTCACACGTTAAAACTGTCTTTTGAACAGTTATCCAGTGATTTTTTTTTATGAATTGACAAATTATGTATCTTAACGAAGTTAAAGGGTGTCCACGATGAAATTGCCACACTATGAAATTGCTCTAACTTTTTAACCGTTGGGTAGAATTTAATGAAAATTTGGGTGGATTTAGTTCATAGTGCATTATTTACATCCTGCAAGTTTTAAAGTCCTGTGATCAAAACTCGCGGAAATGGAGTCGAAAGAACAGCTCGTGCGTGATAAAATCTTGCGCATTCATCACGAGAACAAGGATCTCTCGCATCGTTCCATCGCTAAAACGTTGGGAATCGCGAATTCCACGGTGCCGCGAGTGATTAAGCGGTTCGAGGAACGGTTGACCACCGATCGGAAGCCCAGAAGTGAAGGAAAAAGTATTCCGTACAACACCAAAAATCACAACCGCGTAGTTGGGGCCATCAACCGAAATCCGAACGCCTCCGTTAGGGATGTGGCTAAGAAGCTGCACCTAAGCCGAAGTTTTGTCCAGAAGGCCAAAACTAAGGCTGGGCTTCGAACGTTCAAGGTACAAAAGGCCCCTAATCGCGACGAGAAGCAGAACAAGTCCGCCAAAACCCGTGCCAGGAAGTTGTACCTCAACATGCTGACGAAAGTTGAATGCTGCATCATGGACGACGAAACATATGTGAAGGCCGACTTCAAACAGATCCCCGGCAACCTGTTTTTCACGACCAAGGATAAGTTCAGCGTTCCGGAGCATGTCCGCACTCAGAAGATGTCCAAATTTGCGAAGAAATTCCTGGTTTGGCAAGCCATCTGCACGTGCGGGAAGCGGAGTGCACCTTTCGTGACCCAGGACACGATGAACGGACAGGTGTACATAAAAGAGTGCCTCCAGAAGCGGCTGCTTCCTCTCCTGAAGGCCCACAACGTCCCAACAATCTTCTGGCCGGATTTGGCCTCATGCCACTACTCCAAGGACGTGCTGAAGTGGTATGCGGACAATAAGGTCAATTTCGTGCCGAAAATGTTCAACCCTCCCAACACTCCGGAGCTCCGCCCCATCGAGAAGTACTGGGCGATTATGAAGCAGCACCTTCTTAAACGACCTAAGGTAGTGAAGACAGTCGAGGAACTGAAGAAAGTATGGGTTTACATGCAAAAAACGGTTGATTCACAGTTTGTGCAGAATCTTATGGCCGGGGTTAAGGCCAAGGTGCGGGCATTTGCATATGGACTGTAAATAAAATACGAGTAAAATGGTAAAATGAAGTTTAATAGTTATTTCTCAATCCCTGAAAATTTGATGGCAATCGGATGAAAACTCGAATTTTGCGAATCAATTTTGTGTGTGGCAATTTCATCGTGGACACCCTTTATCTCTAACGGATTATTTTATATGGATAGCTGTCATAACGACTTTTTAATAATTATTGTAGCACTGCAAAAACTATTTCTGTTCGCCACGATGGTGACGATGGATTTTTAATATTTGATTTTATAGTAGTAGATTTAAAAGTCTACAAAGGTTTGAGCCTCGCGCGCGTATTACGGATATAGAGGACTGAATTTAAAATTTGATAAAAAAAATATGCAATTTTGAAGCTTATTTGGAATATACCTTGAGTTAGTAGTAAGTTTTCTGGCATATGTCGGGGGTTCTTGAGCATTCCTGACATTGCTGAAAATTATGATAGCATCAGATTTCGGGGTTGCTAGTGTAATAGGATGCTTTGTTGATTGTTCATGAACTCTTGATTGCTTGTAATACTTATGAATATTTAGGTGGACAAAAAGGCGAACTAAGAGGTTCTTTTCCACATTTATATCGCTGTGAAGCAACTGTGAACTCTAGAGAGAATTTATCAGCGGCGTTTCCTTAACCTCAATCTACCTGTGCACCAACTCTCAAAACATAAACATTTTTCAAAATATTGCTTGCAATGGATAGATATTGAGTAAACTAGAAGATTAAATGTATTTTTCAACATATTCGAGTATGAATATGGCATTAAATCTGGTATTGAAAGTTGGTGCACAGGTAAAAAGTGAGGTTACGCGACGCCACTGGAATGTAACTGTAACCAGTTCGATTTTGTTTGCAAACCTGGTTAAATTGTCATATTTAATTACCTTAAAGATAAATCGTCCAGCTCAAACCTTTGTAGGGTAAGAGGTGGGACCATCATCATCATCATTATCATCATCATCAATTTTGTTGGAGCTTTGTGATAAATCATTCGCACTAGAGTTGAAATTATCCCCAGAACACTCATAGAACTCTGTTTCTTGTTGAATTCTCATCATAATTCTCTTGGAATTCTTCTTAAAATTAATCCGCCACTTTCCTCACGATCCCCATACAAATCTTCTTAGAATCACGAAGGAATTTTCTTTGAACTCCTTTTGAAATCTTCTAAAATTACCTAACAATTTAATTTAGAACTTTCATGTACTCCACATAAATCCCTCCAAATTCATCTTCCAATTTCTAACGACTTCATGTCAGAATAATTTTGAAATTCTGCTCAGAACTTCTCCTTCGAAAATTATGTGGGATTCCTCCTCAATATTTGTTTAAAATCACCACTTTCAATATTTTTAAATTTTACTAAAAAATTCCAGGGTGTCCGCAAGATTCTATATATTATTTTGTAATTTGTTATCCCTCCCCTTGGCTAGTTTTTAACCTGGACGTTGGTGGGCGAGCCTACACACTAATCGAGTCAGTACGGTTTTACTGAGTTTTTGAATTGCAGAACTGTTCGGTAAAAGTATAAAAATCTGTGGAAAATTTATTAATGTGAAAATTTGTTCTGAACTTGTACATACTTAGTTCTGTTAACCTCATTTAATGTTAGAAAATAAATTGGTCGATTTAAAAACTTACGGATAACGGCCATTTGAATTTTTACCGACTTTTTCTGCAATTCAAAAACCCAGTAAAAAAATACTGACTCCTGTAAAAAAAATCTTAGTGTGTAATCTTATGCTTCATAGTGGAGCGTTGGAGACGGTGGGTTTATGGCCGGCGTTGCTGGCTCATGCTGCGATAGAATGGCGCCATGGGCAAGCAATGGGGATTACTAAGCTTCCCCTCTCTGATAAACCACTGCATGAGAAAACCAAAGATCTAGTCTAGCAGTGATAGTATCACACTTGTTACTCCTTTGATTGAGAGCCGCGTCGTAGTACGCTTACGTATAGGCACTGACGTTGGGTGTGATACTGGCGGGTTTTGCCGCAAATCACTCTTATTTTATTTATTTTTACGCAGAAAGATTTATTTGGGTTTGCAAGGGAATTATACTATTGAAATGTTTCAGAAAATGCCCAACAGTGCTCCTTCTATTTGCGTGACAAGCTTTCATTGTTGTTTTCATTGAAGTATTACTCAGGAAACAATGTTAAACATCATTTTTGTACATGGTATTGTAACTAATCTT